TTTGTTTAATACTAATTCCAGACCTTGGGTCCATTTGTCTTTTGACAAGCTTTTCTTTTTCTTATTTGAAGGAAGCTCTTTTTATATTGAAGATAATGACTATTACCTATTCTGTTTCTATCTCAGTGATATTTGAGGCTTTGTGGCTAGATTTTAAATTTTGTGTTGTATTTTTTTGAGTAAGTAATATAAACACATGGAACACAATTTAGACAGCACAAAGGGTATATAGTGATGAGGTAATTGTGTATCCTTTCAGAGATATTCCATGTATACACAAGCATATAATATATATGTATATTATTACTCAAATTTGAGCAAACTCTACACACTATTTTGCACCTGTTGTTTTTCATTTACTACTACATCTTAAGATTGTTTCTTATATTGCCCCTTATTTTTTAAGGGCAGCAATTATAGTTCGTTGTAGGATGGACTATAATTGGACATTCAAGTTGTTTCTTATCTTTTGGTATTAAAAAAAAAATAATGTGGGGACTTCCCTGGTGGCACAGTGGTTAAGAATCTGGCTGCTAGTGCAGGGGACACGGGTTTGAGCCCTGGTCCTGGAGGATCCCACATGCCGCAGAGCAACTAAGCCCGTGCACCACAACTACTGTGCCTGCGCTCTAGAGCCCATGAGCCACAACTACTGAGCCCGCATGCCACAACTACTGAAACCTGTGTGCCTAGAGCCTGTGCTCCACGCCAAGAGAAGCCACCACAATGAGAAGCCCGCGCACCGCAACAAAGACCCTATGCAGACAAAAATAAACGAATAAATAAATTTATTTTTTTTTAATGATGTAATTACTATTCTTATATGTCCATGATTTTACAAGTGTCTAGCTGGATTTTAAATCCATACTGCATCTGAAATTTGACCACCTATTGTAGGTCTCTAAAAGCTTTCCTGGCAAATGAGTTCCCTGTAAAGAAAATAATAGTAGTATGACTGCATTGCATAATACAGTGTACAGAGCACCTTGGTTCATTTAATCCTTATCAGATAGAGCAGGTACTATTATCTCCATTCCCAGATGAGAAACCTGAGGCTATTCAGACCTAGAGGCAGAAATGATTAATGTTTACACTACCTACTGGCTTCAGTACTTAAATATTTAAATGTGCTGCATCAGCTGCACAACTTGTAGTACCCATTGCACAAGTGTCACTACCCCGAGCAGGTGGATTATTCTGCTTAGACTTTTTGCCAGGTAAGCTAAATAGATTCTCATACCCCCACCCTCCAAAATACTGTCTATCTGTAAATTATCTATGACAAGGACTTTCTGACCACATTTTTGCACATCTAAAGAAATGAGACCCAATTGTTGTCTTATTGGGAAGCTAAAACTTCTGGGATGAAATAATATGCCCAAAATCAGATGATAGGTTTTTGGGTTGTCATGTTAGTGTGGTTTTAGTAGAGATTTGACTTGAGATCCTCAAGGCAGCATACTTTGTAAAGAAATAATCTGAGAATACCCGGTAGGTCAATAGGTTCACTCTCCGTAAGCTAACACCAAAGAAATGGAACGGGAGGAAATCTTTAAAGATCCAGAGATAAGACACCTCTGATCTTAATAGAAGTCTTGGTTTGAAGGAACTTTTATCCATCAGATCATCTGATTCTGTAAGAATAAGAAAAATGGAGCATCCTTGTCTTCCTCTAACAGGCTACTGCCTCTCAGAAGACATAAGTTTTGCCAAATCTTCTAAGTATCTAAATGCTAAGAGTGTTCTAGGGCCCAATCCATGGACTCTCCAATCTCCCTCTGGTGAGTCGTCCATCCACATAGCTTCAAACGTCTTCTGCCATGGCTCTCAAATTTATATTTCTAGCCTGACCATTTTACTGAATTCCAGGCTTGTATATGCACTTGGATTATTAGGCAGCTCAAATTTAAGATGAATTGAATTCTCATTTCCCTGCCCAGTCTTCTCTGAGGCTTCCCCATCTCAGCAGGTGGCCTCTCCATTTACACCTTTGCTCAGAGCAAAATCCTTAGGGGATCATCCTTGACTCCGCTCTTTCTCCTGTGCCCCGCATCTGATTCATTAGAAATCCTTTTGGCTCTAACATCAGAGTGTATTTTGAATCCAACCACTGTTTTCCCCAGATTTACTGTGATATAATTGACACACAATTTTAAGATATTGAAAGTGTATGTTGTGATTTGATGTGATTTGATGTACACTGACTCTGACTACTATTCACCATCTGTACTAACATCTCTCTTGCCTGGACTACTACAGTAACCCCCTAATAGGTTTCCTTCCCTCTTCAGCCTCAGTTTATTCTCCACCTAGCAGCAGAGTGAACCTTTTAAAATGTACATCTGGTCACATTGCTTCTGGCTCTGGTGGTTTTCTATCATTTAGAGTGAAGACCAATCCTTACTGTGTTCTACACGTCTGTATAGTTTGGAACCTGGCTTCCTGCAGCCTCACCCTTGCTATTGCACTCAGCCACGCTGCTAGCCTCCTTGCTGTTCCTTGAGAACAGGTATGCATCTACCTGAAGAGTCTTCCAACTTGCTTTTCTTCCCGGAATGTTCCTCCTCCCCCTCCCCCACCTCTCAGATTTACATGGTTAGTAGATTTACGTGGTTATGTTGTTCAGGTCACTGCTCAAAATAAGTTCATTCCTAACCACCTTGTCCAAAATAGTAGCTTCCCCTTCCCTCTCTATCCCTTTACCCTGTTTTACTCTTTTTATTTAGCGGTTTAAAAATTGAGATTAAATTCACCCTTTAAAAGTATATCATTTCAGGGAATTCCCTGGCGGTCCAGTGATTAGGACTCTGTGCTTCCACTGCAGGGGCCATGGGTTCATTCCCTGGTCAGGGAACTAAGATCCTGCAAGCAGCGTGTGGCACAGCCAAAACTAAGTAAATAAATAAAGTACACCATTTCAGTGGTTTTAGTGTATTTACAGAGTTAAGTATTTATTACCACTATCTAATTCTAAAATATTTTTATCATCCTAAAAAGAAACCCCATAGTCATTAAAGTCACTCCTCATCCCTCCCTATCCACCTCTACCCTCCACCCCAGAAACCACGAAATGTACTTTCTGTCTCTAAAGGTGTGCCTATTCTGGACGTTTTCATTTAAATGGATATTTCAAATGGATGGAATCACAAAATACGTGACCTTTTGTGTCTAGCACCTCTTGTGCTGCTTTTACATAGCATAATGTTTTCAAGGTTCATTTATGTTGTAGCATATATCAGTACTTCATCCCTTTTTATGGCTTATAATATTCTGTTCTGGGGGTATACCATATTTTTTTAAAAATTATTTTATTTATTTTGGCTGCGTTGGGTCTTCATTGCTGCGTGCAGGCTTTCTCTAGTTGTGGAGAGCGGGTGCTACTCTTTGTTGTGGTACACCGGCTTCTCATTGCTGTGGCTTCTCTTGTTGCAGAGCACGGGCTCTAGGTGCACCGGCTCCGTAGTTGTGGCACGCGCGCTCTAGAGCGCAGGCTCAGTAGTTGTGGCGCATGGGCTTAGTTGCTCCGCGGCATGTGGGATCTTCCCGGACCAGGGCTCGAACCCGTGACCCCTACATTGGCAGGCGGATTCTTAACCACTGCGCCACAGGGAAGTCCCCACATTTTTATTTATAAGTCATCAGTTGATGGGCATTTGGGTTGTTCCACTTCTTGGCTATTACGAATAGTGCCACTATGAACATTCATATACAAGTTTTTGTATGAACATATGTTTTCAACTTTCTTGGGTATATAACTAGGAGAGGCACTACTGGGTCATACAGTAACTCTATGTTTAACTTTTTGAGGCACTGTCAAAACTGTTTTCCAAAGCAACGGCATTCTTTTACATTCCCACCAGCAATGTATGAGGGTTCCAGTTTCTCCACATGCTCTGCAAAGTTTCCTTTTCCTTATAGCTTATCACGGCCTGACACACTCTATATTCACCTGTTACTGTCTGGTTCTTCCACTAGACTTTGAACTTTCAGGAGTAGCGCTTCTGTCTTGTTTGCTGCTGTAGCCCCGGCACCACACAGTGCCTGGCACAGAGCAAAGCACTCAATAAATATCTGTTGAATTCATGAATATAGTTCAGTAAACTTTTTTCACTTAACCACTTCCCTTGGTGTTTTTTTTAAATTAATTTTTATTGGAGTATAGTTGATTTACAATGTTGTGTTAGTTTCTGCTGTACTGATACAGCAAAGTGAATCAGTCATACATATACAAATATCCACTCTTTTAGATTCTATTCCCATATAGGTCATTACAGAGTACTGAGTAGAGTTCCCTGGGCTATACAGTAGGTTCTTATTAGTTATCTGTTTTATATATAGTAGTATGTATACGTCAATCCCAATCTCCCAGTTTATCCCTCCCCCCTCTCCCCCTTGGTAACCGTAAGTGTGTTTTCTATATCTGTGACTCTATTTCTGTTTTATAAATAGGTTCATTTGATTCCACATATAAGCGATACCATATGATATTTGTCTTTCTCTGTCTGACTTACTTCACTCCACTTCCCTTGGTTTCTAAGTTAACCTTTAGTTCCCCAACTCAGAAATGAATACATTTTTCCTATAAAAATTTTAAAACATTATGACAGCTAAATCTGTTTTGCACAGCCCTGGTTCACTGTGAATCCTTTGTGGTGTTTACTTCCAGATCTTATGCATGTATGTATGTAACAGAGTTAGTGTTGGAAATGAGGAAAATACACAGTTTGGCCGCCTTTTTTTTTTTTAACACAAATAATATGCTTTAGGGATCATTTTACAACTTATTTACTCAGCACTGCCTTGGGGATGTTTCCATACCAACGTATGTACCTCTACCTTTTTTTTTAACTGCTACATAGTGTTCAGTGTAATGTATGTACCCCTGTCTAGCCATTGCTCTATTTTTAAAGTAGCAAATATTTGTGGAATAACTAACTTTTGCAAAGCAGTGTTTTTAAAGGTTTTTAAATTTTAATTTTCTGATATTGGGTATCATGATATTTGAGTGTCCAAAGTAGCCACAAAGAAAGGGACTGATATTAAAGCAGAAAATTACAGTTCTGATTTTTACACTTCGAAGAATAAAATCAATTCCTCAAAAACTTATAAAACAGAATTCATTTTAATGTCATAGTGGTTAACTATGTCAAACTCAGTTATAAATAGTGTTTTTTAATTCAGCAGTTTTGGAACTTTTTAGACAGTTATATAATATCAACAGTTGTCTTCCCTGCCACTCTGAGGTACTCACTGAAATGCACCTCTCTGGCAGAGCTCCTGTTGCATTTAATGAACCTTCCCCTCAGCACCGGCATTTACATACTGTCCTATACCCACCTGGAGTATAAACCCCTCAGAGGAAGGAAACTGGGGCTTTCTAAAATATGTAGTAAAGATTATCTGACAAGTATAATCTTTTGTGGTTCCCATTTTCAATTTTTTCTTTTACTCCCCAGTTCTATTAGTTTAGCTTGATGCCTGATCAAAGATATAAACCATTGTCAGCCTACGTTTATCTTATTACAGATAGCTTTTTATTTAAAATTCTGGTCATAAAATTCAGGTTCAAACATTCTGGAATTTCGAATTCTTATTTTGGGGGTTGTGCCTATCTGTCAGTGCTTATGTAATGCCTTTGAAGTGCTAGATGCTGGGAGTCACCACTTCTACTTTGTTTTAGGATTTCATTTCTTTTTTCAAAATGTGTACTTTCAGATTATCTTATTTAACTGGTCATTGTAATGTATTTGTGTAAAATAATTTCCAGAAAAACAAGAAAAAACCCTTTGTTTTATACTTACTGCTTGATGTCCAGTAGATGGCACCAAATGCCCTTTGGAGTTCTTCATGATACTAATTCCTGGTTGGTATTGCTGGCTTACTGATCTTGTCTTCCACCACTGCCAAGGAACAGAAAGGGGTCCATTCTTTAGTCTAATTCTCTGATTGTTATATAACTTAGTATTTTTGTTTGGAGTTTAAGATAGACCTGTTGGTGTTTAAATGGTTCCTTGCCATATCTCAGATTTCAAACTTTTTTAATTTTGTATAAGTGTGATTTTCAGTCAGGGCAATTCTAGGGGAAGGATCATGACTTTGAAATAAGACTGGGTTTAAAAAAAAGAGTTGAGGGTAAGGGAAAGAGTAAAGAGAGTCTGAGTGTTCATAATAAAATCAAAGAGAAAATATAGAAGTATACAAAATCCAAAATTAAGGTAATGAAATCAAAGTGTTTTTACTGTCAGTTTGGGCACTTTAGAATTGTATTCATTTCACTATGATTTTCAAATTTGTTTTACAGATAACTTGCAGTTAAAACATACTCTTTAAAACTTATATCCCCATTCTTCTAGCTTTTTTGTGCTTTCTTGAAAACCTTTATCTTCAGTGGTAAAGGTGAATATTTATTAGTTTTCATAAAGAATCACCTTTTAGGTCCAATTAACCATTAAAACCAGAAAATATGTGTTCTGTATGTCAGGCCTGGTTTACTGCATTTATTCTACGTATTAATTCTGTTGAGTTTATTTAATTTTAATGGATTTGTCAACCATTAAAAAGAACACATTTAAAAACTTACCATCGTAATGTGTTTCTTTGTTTTTCCCCAGTGTTTGAGTGTCATTGTTTGTGACTCATATGGAAATCCGTCTCTTAGTTGTCTTGTTTTTAGAACAGCTACCAACTGGAGCATTGACACCATGGGCTCTGAGTGAAACAGATCTAGGTTCAGTTTCCATTTCTGGCTGAATGGATGTCTAGGAAAGTCATTTAGCTTCTTGGGCATCAGTTTCCTCATGTGCAAAATGTAGATAATTAACCTATCTAATGGGGTTATATTGAGGATTAGCAATAATGTAGGTAAGTTACCTGACAGGCTATTGTTTTCACATATTGGCAACAATAAACTTTTCTAAAAAGCTTTGTTAAATATGTTCATGCTTTACTCATTTCTATATTCAGGACTCTCAATTTACGAAGAGTTTTATTTCCGTTTCTTAAAATGAAGATGTCAGTATATTAACAGAGTAACTTGGGTCTTGAGATAGCTTAGGGAACAATTCCTAAATAAAGTTTTTAGTTCTGTCTATGTACATTTATATTGGTACCACACAAACACCATTCATAGCCGTCTTGAAAAGGAAGGATTCTTTTTGAGTGTTCTCCTCTAGAATTAAAAGGGAAGGAAAGACCCCGAAAGAGATTTATGTCAAAGAATCTCAGAATTCAACGCCAATCTGTAGGTACAGGAAGTTTCTGAGCTTTTAAAACCCAGTCGCGTGAGGGAGTAATTCGCCAGCACTTGGGGCGGGGTTAGTGCCTAGTGCCTTTGGAGAGCTCAGCTCTGTATACAGCCTCCCTACTCCAGCGCTTTCTGAGGAGAGAAAAAAACGCTGGGCGGCGGCGAACACTGGACAGGAGACAGGCTTTTCCCCCGAGCCCCTCAGCCACGTGGCGCTCGGCGGAGCCCCAGGCCCACCGCCCTACCGTCGGGCTGTCTGCCGCTCTCCCTTCGGAGAGATTTCGCGGCTGGGCCCTCGACCTCGGGAAGCCTGTAACCTCCGGGTCTCGGCCGGCAGGCCCAGGGATCCAGCCCCGAACCCGAGCGGGGCAGAGCGCCCAGGTGACGCGCGGTGCCAGCTTCCACTCGAGGGACGCCCAGCAGGTCCCCGGAACTTTTCCCCAGAGACAGGTCCCGGCAACAGGTCCGAGGTGGGGTCGGGTGGAGCCGAGCCCGGCGGCAGCCGGTGAATCAGCGCCGGTCTGCGCCCGGGTCAGCCCTGACGGCCCATGCCAGATCCCGCGAGGAGTAGCCGAGCCGCTGACCACCAGCCATTCAGGGCTCGCTGGCCTGGGGAAAGGTGACGTCATCGTAGCTGGGCGGTGTAGGAAGGTTCCACCAATGGGAGACAGGCAGAGTGGCTTGCTTTCTGTAGCTCTTGGCCAATACTAACAAAGCAAAAGGGGGCCCGGTTGTCGGTATAGAACCAATGGAAAACAGGGAAGGAGCACGAGGCGGAGTTGCGAATCCTATCACCAATTGGAAAGAGAGGGTGGAGCCCGGGCCTTATCAAGCGTGACCAACCAGCGAGAGGAGCGGACCCTGAGGGGCGGGGCTGTAATGCCTTCCCCCAATCGGACAGCGCCAGAGGCGGGGCATTCTTTGGGGTGCCCAATGAGGAACGCAGCCGAAGCGGGCCTGTCAAGAGAAGGGGCTGGGGGCGGGGGGACGGTGAGTCGGGGATAAACACTCCGCGGCGGTGGCGGCTGCTGCTCTTCTTTGGGTTCTGTCACGGTGTCGGTGGTGCTCGGCTCACCGGTCCCCTCCCCCTTCCGGCGAGCGTGGTCGCCAGAGAGCTTCTCTCAGCCCTGCTCTGCGGGGTCCACAGCGGGGCGTGGGTGTCCGGCGGCAGCGGCGGCGAGTCCGTGGGCAGTGGGGGTTGGTCCAGTGGCTCCGGACCCCGGTGCAGAATGGCGGCGGCGGTTCGGATGAACATCCAGATGCTGCTGGAGGCGGCCGACTACCTGGAGCGGCGGGAGCGAGGTGCACGGGGACGGGAGGAGTCCGGCCCGAGCGGGGACTGGGGGCTCTGAGGGGCCCAGCCGCAGGTCCGGGTGCCCAGCTGCTCCGGGGGTAGTTGGAGGAGCTGAGAGCGCGACCTCGAGCGCTCCCAACCCCTCCAGCTCTCCCCACGCGCGGTCCGAAGGGAGGCCGTCGCTGCCCCAAAGGCAATGAATGGGGGTGGAAAAGGGACCGCTGACCCGGGGTCCGGAGCGCCGCCCGCTCCGCACCCCGTCGCGAGTGGGGGGCCCGGGGCCCCCTCAGCCAGGCCCTTGGTTTACCTCACTGGGGCTCGTCCCGGCCGGCCCCCAAGTGGGCCTGGCGCCGGGTCTCGCAGACGGAGGAGCAGCGCCTCCCCTGCCCCACACCGTCCCTCCCGGGCTCTGGCTCCCGGTGTTTGCCCCGCACCTTCGCCTGAGGCTGGTCCCACTTAATACACACCAACCTGCTGGACGTTGCCAGTGGGAAACCCAGGCTCCAGGAGACTTGCTGTCTTTCTCAACAATGAGCAGCTGGAATGCTCCTTACACCTGCTCCTCACTGAGGATATTCACTCAATTAAAAAAAAAACCAATCATTGTTCTAAGAATTCCACCTTGCTCCGTTTAATTATTTCCACAATCTTCTTTTAATGAAAAATAAATCAATCTTAAAAGGGAAATACTGTGGAGGGGAGAGAGTGTTGAATGTTCGGGGCTCATTCATTAACTGGATCCTCCGGTTTTCTAGAAGCTGAACATGGTTATGCCTCCATGTTACCATACAATAACAAGGACAGAGATGCCTTAAAACGGAGGAGCAAATCCAAGAAGAATAACAGCAGTAGCAGGTAATTTGGTAAATATTTCCCTTTCTCTTTTAGGTTATACTGTAGATGATACAAACTGCAGAATGGACGTTGCCTGTTGTGATTATAACAGGGTTATAATCATGTAAATGAAGTGGCGATCATGATTCAGTAATGTACACATGGTCTTAAGGCGTTGGAGGAAGCCCTTCTATTTGGGTTGAGGGGACTGAAAAGAAGAGAGAAATGGAAATGTTTTCTATTTCTTTATGAACTTTTTTTAAAACTTAATTTTGCTTTTCTTCCCTTTTGGAGCAAAAATCTGTGGAAACTTCAAGTGAGATTAGCAACAGTGACAATATTTTGCCTTCAGAAGTTGCAGATTCAGGGCAAGTTTTCTATAATTGAAAATACTGGACATTATCCACTTTTTACTTTTCATAGTAAAGATTTTATAGACGTGTTAAAGTATTTGACTTGGCATAGGTGATAGGATTTCATATTTGACATGTAAATTAAATACAGTTATGTGTCTGATAATCTAATTTGTCACTCTATTTATAACGGCAAAGAGGAACGACTGAGGCTAAAACCTGCCTTTTTGGTGATGCAGGAACATATAATATTAAAATATTAATATGCCACAACCCTTTTATGTTAGCCTTGTAGTTCTTGAAATTTGTAAATTTCACTGGGAAGTAAATACTGGTTAATGGTCAATGAAATCACATACTAAAACCCTGAATGTACTTCTTGGTACATGTTGAGTACTCCACTAATGCTATTGCACCCTTTTTTCCCCCTCTTTGCCCTTAATATATGTTAGCTAGGAAATCTGCTTTTATTAGACTCATTCAATTATACCTTTTATTCCAGTAAATTAAAAACATTGACATTTTCAACACTGATTTAGAATCCTTATCTGTCTCCCATTCTCATGAAAATTCCCTGCGAGTAACTGTATTTGGTTAACCTCTGTGGCATAATACAGACAACTAAAAGCCAGAGGTTTCGCACTTAAACCTTAAACTCCCTTGTCCTTGCTGCCTCTTCTGTCCTTGATTCACCCCATTGTCCTTAGCACTGGAAGAACCACAGGATATGAGTGAACAGCACATATGTGCCGAGCTCTTGAATAGGAAGGCACATGAAGGATGGATCTGTTAATTAGTTACCTGGTAGTTCTTGAAATTTGTAAATTTCCCTCCCACATTTAACATTATCTGAAGGTGGTAACAAGTAAAACTGTGCATGAGTACTGACAACCTTTAAGAAGAAGGTTAATGCTGACTTGTATTATGCAATGGTATACAACAATTTACGTGTTGCTTTTTGTTACAGTATTTTTAAAAACTTTTTTGGAAGAACGTTGAAGCCTTTTGGTTTATTTTTCTGGATAAGTGTAGCTCATTTGTTACTTTTATCCTTGTCCACTCATGATTTGGGAGGAATTGCTCACATTAATAGTCAAGGCTTAATCCTTAGCATTCTATTTTTTTCTAAGTTTCACTCTATTTTTTTCAAAGTTTTCACTCTGTTTTTTTCTAAGCTTAATCCTTAGCAATCTGTTTTTTTCTGAGTTTCGTTTTTTTCTAAGTTTCACGGGAAAGTTGTTGAGGGGATGTTCAGTGGTGAGGAAAAAAAGGGGATGTTGTTGAAGAGAAGTAGCTTGGCCCCAAAGTTGATTAGGAAAGAAAAATAATGATAGTTGAGAATTTCAATTCAGGAAATAGCTTCTTTCTCTTCTCTTTAATATCCAGCTTTATTTCTGGGGAAATGGCTGCAACTCTGGATTTGGGGAAAAACTCTGTTATTTCTGTCAATGGGTTTGGTTTGCTTTCCATGGTTAGAGACCGGAGGCTATCACCGTTGTCCATACTCTTGACTAATAATGAATTTGTGCAATAACTTAAGTGGTGCAAGGATTTCTGAGAGACCATGATTAAACCTGAAGATGGCACCAAGCAAACATATGAAGCAAGAGCAGGTTGTTTTGTTTAAATGTACTCACTTCCTTTATGACCTGTTCAGAATGACCCTTACCTGAGCAGTGAGACATCTCCCCAGAGAATGCAGTTTGACCCCTTGATTTGAATTAGACTTATATCCAAGGCCATATATGGTCAGGATTTTGAACTGAGGTAAGAGCTATAGAAAGATTACTGCTGGTTTACATAACCATTGGTAACAGTTTATTCTTGTTAATTCAGGTTGAAATGCTGGGCTCTTTGCTTGTAGTGTCTGGGGGGTGTACTTTTCCTTGGACAATAAAAAATAAGATTTAGCTACATATCAAACTTCTTGGGAAATGAAAATGCAGATCTTAAGTTTCTCTAGTTGCTTGTTTAAAGAACAAAAACAAATGAAATTGTGAATATTGATTGTCTTGGAATCATCCAGAGAACTGCAGGGAGATGGAATCTTTTTTTTTTTCTTTCCTACTGATTTTTGAAATCAGTTACTAAATATTTAGAATTGAAATCCAGAGTTTTTAAAAGTATGTTTTGTTAAATTGGTAAAGCAGGCATTGGCAGTAATGTGAAAGAGGAAGTTCAGCACTTGCCTCCCAGTTCTTTTATGAGACAGTGGCCGTATAGCTGACTTGACAGGGTGAGTCTTTTTTAAACCAAGGACTGGTTTGGCTTAGTTATCTTTTTGTTAGAATATATTTTTAAATGGTGACATTTGACCTTTATCAGTGATTTCAGAGTTATCAAATCTTTTCAGTAATTACATGGAAAATGATTTTGACACAAGGAAGATGATTTTGACACAAAGTATCTGTATATTCTTATAATGCTTTAATTTAAAATATAAATGTTTTCCCATCAACAGAGTTGGCGGGCAGTCTCTTAACTGGTCATTTTTTGAACGGCCTGCTTTTTATTAAAGAAAAATTCAGTTTTACTAAACCAAATGTACTTCAGTAATGCCCTAGCCATTAGGTATAAGTCCGCTTGTAGAAATCACCATATGTTCAGCACTCTTAAGTAATCAGATAAGATCTATAGTTTCCAAAGCTCTGTTCAAAGTTCGGAAGGAGTTATGCTGCTTATGGAATTTGTTTAAAAGATTATCTTGGGGATTCTGAATTTTTTTATATGTATCTTCAAAGAATCCAGAAATTTTGGGTAAGGGTGCCCTGTGTGCTACGATTTTTCTATAATCAGAGACCATGCTCTTTTCAAATATCCACCCTTCTCTCCTCCACCACCTTCCCAGAATGGTCCTTGTCTACTGTTAAACAGGGAAATCTTGACCAGCTTTCATCATACACTTTCATCCATTTAAAAACTCTGTCAGGCTTTGAACTTGTTATTCCCTGTTAAAACCAGAATGCCACGTGCTTTAAAGCCAAACGTTTGCAGTTGCAGGCCAGACTCTTGTTAACTGTGATATCCTGATGGCCATTGCAGGAAGTATACCATCAGAAAAATATAACTGAAGAACACTGAAGGATAACCAAGTGAATCAATTTAAAGCTTTTAAGTCAACCAGTTTTAAGGTTCCCATGTCCTTTATCTAGAAAACAAATATTCTAAAATTGAAACTACTGTCATTATCTTATTATTTGTTTTTCCTCATGAATAAAAATTGGCACCCCAGAAGCCTTGTGGAAGAGAAGTTTAGTGCTGGG